TGAGTAGCTGGGATTACAGGCACGCGCCACCATGCCCAGCTAATTTTTTGTAGTTTTAGTAGAGACGGGGTTTCACCATGTTGACCAGGATGGTCTTGATTTCTTGACCTTGTGATCCACCCGCCTCGGCCTCCCAAAGTGCTGGGATTACAGGCGTGAGCCACCGCGCCCGGCACTTTTCCTGTTCTTCAAAGAAAAAAATTGCCCACTTTAAAAAATATTAATAAGTATTTCTAAAACTTTATGGATTCACACCTTGGTAGACTCTCCCATTTTAATGGGAAATAACATATATGAGCTAACATATATCATATACTTACTCTATTCCTGACACTAAATAGATGTTCAATAATATAAACTTATTCCAACCTATGATCACCTGCTTTCTCATGAGTATTCACTATGTGCCTGGCTAAACTGAGGAATTATGGAGACAAATTGCTATGGTTTGAATGTTTTTGTCCCTTCCAAAATTCATATTGAAACTTAATCCCCAATGGCACAGTGTTGGAAGGTGAAGCCTAATGGGAGATCAAAGGGCTCTGCCCTCACAAATAGGTTAATGCCACCATACAAGGTACTTGTAGTAGTGAGTTCTCTCTTTTCTGCTCTTCTGCCATGTGAGGACACAATTATTTTGTCCTCTCTGGATAACACAGCATTCAAGTGCCATCTTGGAAGCACAGAGACCAGGCTCTAGCCTGCCGGCACCTTGATTTTGGGCTTCCCAGCCTCCAGAACTGTGAGAGAATAAATTTCTCAGTTTCAGATGTTCTGTTATATATAGCAGCACAAAATAGACTAAGACAGTTATAAAGTCATGAATAGCTCAATCTGTTCTCTTGCCACGGTCAACCCTTATACATTAGCCCTTGGGGGACACAGTGGCCATGAAGCCCAGGAACAACAGGCTGACTGCAGAATACTGTTCCTTGAACAATATAAATGTAGCAAGGTCTCAAAACACACAAGCAACAGCCTGCCTTTATTTACAGATTTGATATTTTGTTCATCACGGATTTTCCCAAATTTTGATTTTTTAAAATATTATATTAAAAAATTATCTTGATTACTAATGTTTTTGTGCTCCCTTAAATTTTGCTCCCAAGGTTCAGGGTCTTACTTGCCTCACTAATCACAGCCCTTAGGTTGCATAGCTAATAAGTAGTGGAAATCCAGGTCTTGAAAACAGCAATTTTCCTCCAAAAGTCATACTGTTAATGGCTTTGCTATATACAGGCTCACAAAAGTAGTAGAAGAAACAGTCCTTGACTTTCCTATTTATAATCTACTAAAGGGCTGCATTTGGTGGCTCATGCCTATAATCCCAGAACTTTGGGAGGCCAAGGATGGTGGATCACCTGAGCCCAGGAGTTCGAGACCAGCCTGGGCAACACAGTGAAACCCTGTCTTTACTAAAAATACAAAAAAATTAGCCAGGCTTGGTGGCACATGCCTGTGGTCCCAGTTACTCGGGAAGCTGAGGTAGGAGGATCACTTGAGCCTGAGGAGGTCAAGGCTGCAGTGAGCCAAGATTGTGTCACTGCGCTCCAGCCTGGGCAACAGAGTGGGACCCTGCCTCAAAATAAAATCTAAAAAAAATAGATTTTTAAATCTAACTTTAAATTAGATTTTTTTGTACTAAAAAATTTACTTAAGGAGAAGAACACACACGCACACGCAAACAAATATGAAAATCAGGAGCCACAGAAGAGAAACAAATGCATATATAAATTATGTATAGGAGCTTG